TTTGTTTCAACCATTATTAAAAGTTTCTTTTTAATACCTTACAGGTAAATTTAACTTTGAGTCGTTGGTTGGTGTGGATAAGATTCTAGGCCCTTTGTTCTTCATCAGTTTTGCTCTCATATCCATCTTCATTCTCATGAATATGTTCCTGACGGTGATAATCGAGGCGTTTTGCGTAGTAAAGCATACAAGTTCAGAAAACATTAAAAACGATTTGGAAATTGTTGACTTTATGATATATCGCTTCAAACTATGGACTGGCTTTGCTGAAAAACGATTGAAGAAACCTGTTAAACCACCTCAAAAATATATTCCAGGTAGGTGTATTACTGTATTTCATTATATATCACCCGACTTTACTCATGATGAATTTACTTTATTTTAACATACAACATTATAATTAACACTCTTTTGTAAATGTCAAAGAGTATCAAGATTTTTTGTTTGTTTGTTTTGCAGGAATCGATCCAGTACAAGTTGAATGTGATGAACTAAAAGACAAGTTAACGTGTATGGTGGATAAGTTGAACATGTTCATTCGAAAAGAACGTATTGAGGTACTAGGCCCCGATTCCTTTCAAAGCGATGTGCGTAGTATTTTCACGTCCGAATAATTGCTAGCATTGCAAAGATGATCATGATTCAAAATAGTGATTCTCAGTGTTGTCACGTAACAATGTAATGCTATTTATGGATCTTTTAATGTTCATGATGTCCTCGTCTTTTCGTCTTCGTGCATTTTCTTTTCCATCATCTCTTACCTTTGTCGTCCTTTTTCTTCTTTTGCTTTTCTTCTTGCTTTATCCACCTTTTCTTACATTCATTTTCTTTCTCTTTTCTTCCAAGTCTCCATCCAACCTCTCCATGCTTTTCCTCCTACACTTCCCTTTTTCTTCTATTTCATTAATTTCCTTATAATCAGCTTCTATACTTTTCCCTTTTTTCTGACACTTTGATTTTTCCTCTTACCTCTTTGTTCTTTCACGTCCTCGTTTTTTAAATTTTTCCTTTACACACGCTATCATCGCACGAATTCAGTCCATCATAAATTTATTTGTTTATATAGTTTTGTTCAGATTAGTGTCATGATAGACAAAATATCGCTAAGATTTTGCAACTATTAACTATTATGTCGTAATCATTGTTAAAGTGTATCTCTTAATAGTATTAATATTTTATCCATAATCGATGTTTATTATTATTAGGCCTATACCTACTTCATAAAATATAATATACGAACTGACTATGAAAGAATTACATTTCAGTTAATATGGAAATCTCTTTATGAAGCAGCGAATGTGTTCCAAAGACATAGCTTCAAATAAATATTATGTAATGCCTCTAGGGTAGGCCTATTTCATGATGTGCTCTATATAAGACCGACGGTATATAACTTTCGAATTACTAGTAAGTAAAATTTATTCGTATTTATTTTATATTTCTAATTCTTACACTATTAAACTTTTGCAGACTATTGGAGTTTCATCTTTTTTTTCTACATTTTTGTTACTTAACACAGGATTTAGGTGTTTTAAAGCAGTAACATGTTCTATAACAAATAAATCAATACATTGTATAGTTTTATATCACATTATTACTTAATAATTATGTAGAAAATTGGAATCGAATTCGGTTATGGATTGGCAACAATCTGTCATCAGTACAGAACAGAAAAATGCAAACGAAACCAAACCTTTTTCTTTCAACACACAGCTCTATCCCCATCATCAGATATATGACAAGTGTGATAAGTGTGTGGGAATTGCCCATTATGGAAATGATGATATCATATCACATCCATGTATTGGCATGATGATGTCATATTAAACCCATGTATGGGTATAATGATAACATATCACATGCATGTGTTAATTGTAAGGTGTATAAAAGAAAGAAATATTTTGTTATCTGAATTACCACCTCAACAAGTTTAGGAAATATTTCTAGACCTTTTTAAGTGTTATTTAATGTGTCTTAAATCTGTCTTTTTTTTCTTTGCTGTATTAATTGTTTAATGGTTAAAATATTTGTTTTACTGTAGATTAACATACTTTTTGTTTTACAATTAAGTTTTATGTTTTAAATTTTGTTTTGTATTAAGGTATTTTGGATGCACCATAAAACTTGTTTTATGTTTGCCACTGTTGTAAAAGTGAAGTCCATTAAATTGAAAATTGAAATTGACGACAGAATGTATTTAGCCACGAGAACGCATCCGTACTCTGCAGTCAGCATGACCTTAATTTAAGGATAGGGAAATTTTAGTGGTAAAGTATACAATGTGCTTTGTTAATAAACACGGTTACGTCATAACTAATGTTGGCTCTATTGATTTCTCTGTGTTGTACTGTAACTATGACGACATCATCGATATGACGATGACAGACATCGATAGTAAAATATTGACTAACAATACCAACATGGCGCTGATTAACAATACATGATGCAAGAAGTTTGTGTTACTGGACAAACCTTTAACAGTGTAAGGGTAAATTACAAGATGAACCTAAAATATAAAATATGAAACATAAGAAAAGAAAGATAACGAGATACGAGAAAGACAAAGAAAAGAAAGGATTATATGGAAATACAAGAAATGATAGAAGAAAATAAATGATAAGCCAAACACACAACTAGATAAACAATTAAACAAAACAGATAAGATAATTAAAATATACTGAAAACAAAGGAACTGGAATGACGAAGTACTGTAATTGGAATGAAAAGGTGGTTAATTTGGAACCGAATAATAGTTACAATACTAAATGATTACAAAATAATTCGTGAAATTAACGTGTAAATAATTAGAATAAATAATTTATTGCAGGTATGATGCATAAAACTTCCACTCGTTATAAATTATCATTATTTTGGAATTTGCTATATTACTCTTGCTTTTCCTTGCGCTATATAAACATTATTATTATTATTATTATTATTATTATTATTATTATTATTACTGTATTATTATTATTATTATTGTTATTATTATTATTTTGGATAATGTGAAATAATAAACATATTTGCCCTCTTTATGATAATGATCAGTTTTTCTTTAACAAAACATAACCGTAATGAAGAGGTTCTAGGGTTCAAACTTGTGCTCATGCCACAGTTGCTAAGCAGTCGAATTGTAATTGTTTCTAAATAAACAATATATATTTGAAATTTGCCATTAAATTCTCTGTCCATATTACCAAATATTCTTTGACAAAAAACCCCTATGTATGTCCATATATAGTCACGATGTGCCTATATATGGCCATGGTGTGATGTTATGACCATATTTAGGCATGTGGCATATTTTTTTATCAAATACAAGTTTGATAGTCTGGACTTTCAGAGCTCTAAACTTATTTAACAGTTCACTAGGTGCTATGAATCGATGATGAGGAAATTTGGAAGTTTAATCGAAATTATCTATAGTAGGAATACGCCAGTGTATGTTTTTGTCTACTTGTGTTCGATAGTTCTTAAAATCATTTGATTGGAAAAGAGAATCAATAACCATCTTTGACTTCGAAAATGATGAACCTACTCGCGAATGATCTGCTATTTTAAGTGTCGACTATTCCATCCACCTGCGGGTAAATCCTCAAAATAGCAAATTGTCTTAAAAACCTGTGCCGTATCTATGGATAATTGTAATAAAATGTGAATACTCGAATAAGTGACATTACGTTTTTGCATCCTGGAAAACCTTTTTTACTTTTAATTTCATTATGCTGTTTAAATTTTGTCTGGATTAATGATCCTAAGCCTTCTGTAATATTTGTATAAATAATGATATTATTAATGATGATAATAAATATATGTAATTATTTAAGAAAAAGTTTGAACTTTAGAATTTTTAGATTGGCCTATTTATCCTTTTATAGTATCTTAATGGTGTTTTTTTATGTTAATATGTAAGGTGTAGCTCACTTTCTGACCAAATTGTAATGTATCAATTGTAAAAATGTTTATTTGTCGAATAAATAAATGAATGGAATGAAATAATAAGCGATGATAATATGATGAGACTGACGACGATGATGACGGTGATGATGATGATGGTAATGATGGTGGTGATGATGATGATGATACAGTAATAATAATAATAATAATAATAATAATAATAATAATAATAATAATAATAATAACAACAACAACATATTGGTGGCTTAATGTATCATATAGAATACCAGATTAAGTATTATACTAATACCAGTTAAATCCCAGTTTATAATAAAGTATTATAGTTTATTAAACAAAGCAAGGATGATTTCATAAAATGTAGTCAATGAAAACATATACAGTAGTCTACACATAATGAAAATGGTGTAGCCCAATTGCTTAGCTGGTGGTCTTAAATAAGTTGTTGCGAAATGTTAAGGCGAATCTAGCGAGTTCAACAATATTGTTTGTTTCGGATCGTAGAATGACGATCTGAAACTCTGTTCATCCGTCGATAGAAATGGAAGGACCTATATTTAAGACAACTGGGATTATTCTTTTCCTAGAGGTAAATGTATTCCTATGTTAATTTTGTTTCTTCGAATGTACTATTTTCAATTTTAAAAGTCAGGAACTCTCTGACCGACGATAATACATATACAGTATTGTCATTATATATTATTAATGATCTACAGTATTTATTATATATATA